ATTAGTAGAAAAGATTGTTAGCAGAAAGAGAGATTTCAAATGGCCTCCTTGTATGAATCATATCTTTAAATTAATATTACTAAATTTATGTTAAAGACCTCCATGTTATAAAAATAAAAAATATAATTAGACCATTTATTCCTAGGTTGTATTAAGAAATACCTTTTATTTTTTTGACAAGAAATACTTATTGTGTTATCTTTTACTTTTTTTACAAGAAAAATATGATACTTGTTGATAATCTTTTTTTTTTTTTGACAAAAGAAGAAGACGTTGTACTACATTTTTTTTTGCTTGTTGTATTACTTTTTATTTTTTTTTAAAGGAAAAATAAAAAAATGATGCTGCCAAGGTACATTTTATTTTTTTATGCCTTTTTTTTTTTTTTGCAAGAAATACTTGTTATATTACCTTGTATTTTTTTACAAGAAAAATAAAAAAATGTTGTATTATATTTTTTATCTTTATCTTGAAAAGCCTTTTATTTTTTATTTTTTCTAATTTTTTACAACAGTATTTTCTGCCTTTATTTATTTTTGTTGTTAAAATTTTTTTTTATGCCTTTTGTTTTATTTTTTTGCAAGAAATACTTTTTATATTACCTTGTATTTTTTTTACAAGAAAATAAAAAAATGTTGTATTATATTTTTTCTCTTTATCTTGAAAAGCTTTTTATTTTTTATTTTTTAAGCTTTTTTTACAACAAGAAAAGCTTTTTATTTTTTCTATTTTATTTCAAGCTTTTTATTCATTATCTTGAAAAGCTTTTTATTTTTTATTTTTATCTCTATTTTTTATCTTTATCTTAAAAAAATGTTTTATTATATAAAAGATGACGCGCGGGGGGTTCGAACTCAAGACGCCTGCCTGAAATTCAAGGTTGTCAACCAACTTCACCACATCGCCTGATGTGATTCATTAGCTTCTATAATATAATACATATTCAATCATCTTGTTTGAATGGTTTTTTGTGGAAATTATCCCACATCGAAGGATGAGTGACCCTTTGTTCTCTATAAAATGCTGTGTACTAGTCCATCAGCTGCGCGTGTAGAAAAGAGATGGGGGCATACGAGTGAAGTGAATTAGCACATGTGGATGATTTTTAGGTGCCACATGTCACTCTCGTGAGGCTGCCACGTGTCACTCTCGGTGAGACTCGCGATTCACTATTGGGAATCTCCTGGTTCTCTCTGGACATGAGCGATTCCCGATTTTTTCGTGGAATCGGTTCGGTATTAGACAATTCCCGAGTCGAATCCGGTTCGACTCGGCGAGGTTTTAAATACTGGTTATAACATAAAGTCTTAGGCCCAGTTGACCTCAAATAGTTGGGAAAAGGCTCTTATGATGATGATGAACAGAAAGTCCGAGGCCCCCCATTATGAAGCCTGGTTTTAGTTTTTAAACATGTGGTGTTTTTGGGGAATAATCTGACAGCTATATGCGAATACATAATTAGCAAGCGAAGTTTAGTAAGTTTGGCCAATTAAGTTCTATTATTCATGGAGAGAGAGGCATGTTTTCTCCTGCAACAAGATTGTCTTATCCTATATTTGCACCAGCCTTGACTGTATATTTGTGTGTCATGCCAATTCATTGATGCATAACAATTGAAATTCTATAACATGTAGACCCCTGTTCTCAGATTTGCTTCAGATCCCAATTCAATTTGTTTGGAAGAAAGCCCTTCAGATGATTTAATGGAGGACTCCAAGGACTTTTTGGTGTAATTTAAAATGGATTAAAAAATGTATGGAAGCGAGGGTACATTTATAAAATAAGGCATTTTTTTTAAGAATAATAATAATAATATTTTTATAATAGCAATATTCCTGATATAGTTATTGAGGTGATTGCTTGAATCGTATAGCCTATGTGAGGGCATCCTGCTGCAGTCCTTGGACTACCACATTGACCTTTTATTCTAACTTCAATTCTATAAAAGCTGTCTCCAATCCAAAATCATGTGCATTAAAATAACAGCAAATTCATGTCTAAGAAGTTCATCAATGCACTTATCACTCATGATTCAAAGACCATTTGTTGGTTTGTTTACTAAGGCCATGACCTCCAAGGGACATAATTTCCTTATCGGAAAACCCTCCCTTATTGACATTGGTAGAGCTGGGAAGGGTGGATTATGCATATGTTTCACATTGTTCTATTCTGGACACAATGTTGTCATTTTATCTCCTTTATTCTTTACATTTTCGCATGTACTTTGTTGTCAACTCATGTCATATTGGCCTGAACTCACTTGCATATAAGCCCTGAGGGCCTCGTAATACATTGCTGTTCTCCAATCCCCTTAATTAGTGACTGTCAACCTAGATTGGTCTGCCCCTAGGCAAAGGATGTTACTTTTGAAGAGCGTGTTACACTTAAGTGAACGTTAGTAAGAAAAATATGCCTCATAAGGATTGGTTGGTCTCATACGTGATTTTCAGCCACATTTAATTTGTGAGGTTATTTATTTTGAACATTTCTACTATCTTAGTGCACTAGATCACAGATCTGTGGTTGGTTCCCTATCATTGTATTGCACTACTGGGACAATTATGCATCTTGGCTTTTGTGAACTTATTAATGAAACTGGGTATGCAGAACATCTTCTTTCACTGTCGAGGTTAGTTAACAGTGAAAAAATTTGTCTAGTTGCCTAACTATGAAAATGCGAAAGGTTGGAGATAGAAGCTATTGGCCATTGAAGAAGATCTGGCCTGAGGTAAGCATTCTCTGAATTTAATTTGAATATGTTTATTGCATTTGTTATATGTTAGTATCCTTTTTGTAGATATCAAAAGATGCCACAACATAAAGTGACACTGATCCATGGAATCTAGAAAGCTCGTCTTATTGATTTGGTTGCACAGTGATTGAAATTTGAAACAAATTCAATATCAAAAGAGAGCAAATATTTAGTTCGATTCTCACTGAAGAAATGCAAGGCACTTTTCATGGAATACAAACTTTAGATGGTGAAAATGTGGAGCCGCACTCCTTTCTGTGGGATGTATGTAAACTCTTTTAGCTGATTCTAGCAGACGCTTTGATATGTAACGTTAGCTGGAGTTTGCATCGATGACTTCTCTACTGGGGAGAAAATCTGTGCGTCATGCAATGAATCCTAAAATTTGCATTTCCATTTAATGTATGGTATGTCTTGCCTGTGATGACTTCTCACCAGCCTGGATTTGTAGAGCAAATACTTTAATCGTAATATTTTTTTTTGGTTAAATCTAAAGGGGTAAGTCAATAGTGGAGATTTGGGCCCTATCATTTGGTGAAAATGGAGTCAGAGACTTAGGGCTCGTTGGTATCAATAACTTGTTTTAACACAGTTTGAGCGTGTGCACACACACACACACACAGAGAGATCGATCCCTATTATCTCCTTGACATCTGATATCTCCTTCATGTGCACTAGGGATGTTCTTTCAATCAATAGATATCTGTTTTGTCATGTCTAAAAGATTTAAATCCATCTAGACTAGTTGGTTCTTTCGAGTTAAAAGCAGGTGATCTCCATGTCTTTGAAATGTTGTGAACTTGGCCTATAACTTTGTCACTTGTACATTTTGGTTTCACCTATGATGTAAGTTTATGGATGACAAGCTTATCTTAAAGATCACAAATCATAACTGAGACCGATTACAATTACCTAACCGTATACAGCTTCGGTCTCACCTCCATTACGAGTACCTAACCGTTTGCGGTTTATGTTTTATATTAGAATGTAATTGTTATATTTAATATTAGAATGTATCTAATTAAAATGTAGGTAAACCTCAATTACGGAATAATTGTTTGTCAAATAATTTTTTACCTTGTTTTTTTGTCCATCTGCCATTAGTAGTCTGCACATTTTCACCCTGTCCAAACCTGGTGAAGACAACACGTAGTCATGGGGTTAGACATGATCCAATCAGAAAAGACAAAACTATATGTAACTACTACGGCAAAGTTATTAGTAGTGCATGCCAAAACATTTAGAAAATTATAAGGCGCATATGGAACAAGTCGATGAATTGTCGACACAATTCAATTAATGGCACCAACACGATCAAGGGGAAGAACGATGTTGTCTTTTATTTTGGTATTAGGCTGTATTTTAATTATTATATGCTCCAGTTTAGACCATGTATTCATATCTGATTGTAAACTCTTTTTTTTAGTGATGCAATTTAATGGTCAACAAGCATCAAAATAGAAAAATGACGTCTGAATATTCATGATTTTGGTAAAATAGTGAATGTATATAATGCGTCACCCCCAATTTTTTTGAGGCCAAAATCGGCCAATTCTCTAATCCGAATTTCCAATCCACTGATCTGACCTGGTTTTTGGGTCGGATTGGTTTGGGTCGCCTGTCTGATTTTTTAAACATTGATATAAAGTCTTTAATTATTTATATTTAATAATTTTAGTCATAAAAGGTCTATTTAGAAAAAAGATACAATTTGTATAAGGTGTTAATATTGAACAATTAAAATAGGAAAAGTATAGAATGAGATCATTTACTTTTTATGTAAGCTGAGACATTAATCTTAACCATTAGATGTGAAATTGTATGTTTACAATTATTCCATTAACCAAGCTCAAACTTCAAAAGAAGTTTTTTCGAACTTTATGATACATCTAAGCTATCAAATTTCACATCGGATGGTTGTAAGTAATTGTGACTACCTTGTATCAAAGGTAAATAACCTCATTCTGTACAATCCCATTAAAAATACCAGCGTTAGCAAGTCTTACCATAATCTTAAATTTTATTTGTACCCCTAATTATGAAATTTAAAGCTCTAATAATGATGCAAATCAAACAAATCTATAAATACTTGAAAATAAAAGAATAGACATTCTAGACAATGTGTTATAATATATACTTATTCTTAGGACTTAAAATCTATTTTGCGTATATCCATTGATCTCGAGGTCTAGGTGTACAATTGGAGAATTTTCCACTATACGAACAACGTTTTCCTTTGGGTTTTAGAGGTGCTTTTATCTTTATATTTTAGTGCTTTATTTTTATTATAAGGTGGACATTTTATATAAGCTATTTCCTTAAAAAAAGTCACATATTTTATATATTATGCAAAAGTTCTAATTTTTGCTATCTTTTATCTCCAAATCACTCTTGGTCAAACACCTAGGGTTTTTTTTTTTGAAGTGAGAGATGCGTTCGGACCTTGGGGGTTTGAACCACTCTACTTATGTGTTTTTAAAGGGAAAAATTTATATAAGGTGGTGACTTAAAATGTAGAATTAAGGTGCACTTCTAAAATCTTTTGAAAAAGGTTGTTTTGTTATTAGAAAAACTTTTAATTAATCATCTCGACTTCGAAATGTATAGATATAGCGAGAAAAAAAAAAGAAAAGAAAAAGATTTCAAGTCTTAAAAATTGTACATCTTGTAGCACATTATCAGGATCATTCATTTTTAGAGTTTCATGCATTTATGGATCTGCTTCATTTGGACACGTTCGGTTGATGTGTAAATATTTTCTCAAGAAAAATATTTACATATGTAAACACTTTGCTGAAAAACTTTTTGCAAACTTTTCAGGTTTGTTAACACGTTTAAAAAGCACATTGTAATAAATTATATATATTTGGTAACTTGTTTGGTATTTAAATTTATTTTGTAAATATACTAAATCTATACATGTAATATTTAAATATTATAATGCACAATATATAGTTATTTTATTAAAATATTATATATTAATATAAAATAATATATAATATATGTTGTATTGTAAATATCTATAACATAAATAAAATATATTATATTATGTAATAATATCAGTTACGAAATTAAGAAATTAATTTCATACAATTGATCATCAACCCACAGGGAGCATCAATCTATTTAATAGTGTGTGTGCATTAGAGGCTCGGTAGAATATCACAAGAATGCCTTAGCCCTGGTAGGAAATCTAAAGTGCATGTAGATGTATATATAGGGCAAAATTTATATACCTTATAACTTTATTTCCACAATTAAGGTTGCAACCTTATCCACCGTTCATTTCCGTCAAATAAAATGGACGATGGACTTTATCCACCGTCCAACAAATGGACAGTGGATATTTAGAAGGAAAGTACACAAGGAAAACTGGGAAATTTCCCTTATTTTTCATAATTTTTATCCAGCATGGTGACGGTTTTTTGAGCATGAACAGTATTTCCACACCATACAGCAACAGTCAGCTCTATAATCATTCGATTATGGACTATTTTTGTATGTCTTTTGACAAGCTGGAGCACAAGAACTAAAGGTACATATGAGAATTTTTTTAGTGAATGTTTAAAAAGAAAGGACACTATAGGATTATTTCACATAAGTTAATTGTCTTTGCATATTCCTACCCATGTGTGTAGGATTTTAAAAGATGACCATTATATTTGGTAAGGATTTATAGCAAAGTCAAATCCCATATCCATGTGATAACTTTTATAGAGATCTGTTTGAGATCCTACAAACATGGGTGGGGGAGGGTCCTATACGATCATTACTCTTAACTTATTAATGATACATATAAGAATATTTCCAGTTAATGTTTAAGGAAAAAAAAAAGGTACATCTGAGAATATGCAAACATAATGAACTTTTTAAAGGTACAAATGAGAATATTTTCAGTTAATGCCTAAAAAAGAAAAGGTACATAGGATACTATGCAAACAAATTAACTTATACAGCATTAAGCCTATTAGGATGCTCCTTTAAAGTCATATCACCAAGCAATAACGGTTCATTCTGTTTCATTGAATACCAGTCATTACGGAAAAATATGGATTTGGGTATTTTTTACAGCTTTTAATCAAGTTTTATTGTTAAAAACTCTGTCTAAATAAAGGAACTCAGAATTAAAATATTTATCAGAATTAAAATATTTATTTTTACACTGCAGGGAGTTCTATTTTCAAGTAAAAGTGAGGAATGCGAACTTTTTTTATTTTTATGACTTTTAATTATTTTTATTGCTGAAGAATAGTTTATGCCAACATTACTGAGTTTAGGTGAAGTTAAATTTATTCCAAAATTATAATTTACAAATTTAATTTATTTTTTTGCTGCAGGTGCCGTGGACTAGTCTTAAATAAATATACCATCATTCCCATGGTTGCCAGCACTTTAAAAGGAAAACAAACTAAAATGAGTATTCTTCACAATTTTACGTTTCTTCTTTCAATCATTCAACCCCAATCTTTGAATCCAATTATCAAAAAATCCATGCATAACAAAATTGCCAGATAAATTGGCTTTTATACTTACTATGTTACAAAATAAGTACATAGAATAAGATACCAATTTCTGTGTCCCTTTGGCAAGCGGATCGAAATGATTGTTGCCCACCCCCAGCCCCCCTCCACTCTCTCTCTCTCTCTCACCAATAATCGGTGCAAGAGCATTTTCCGTCCTCGAAATGATGGAAACGGTTCATATCTCTTACTACAATTTGTCGCTCAACAACCTTAGACATGGACTTGATTGCAGAGTGGCAATCCAAACACACTCGAAGGTTTTTGATTATTCGAATTGGGCACCCAGGCGGCAAGCTCACGAGCCCGAATGCTATGGCCAATCTCTCACTATGAACCCAAAGAGATTGCTCCTTTTGGTCCTCTTCGACATCATGCAAAACCACATTTCTATCAGGAACATAGCCAGCCTTCCTGGTCTCTCTCTTCAACCACTCTAACATTCCACTGATCCTCCTCATCTCAGGGTGGCTTGTGTCATCCACCCCAAAAGAATGCACTTTACCCTGGATCTCTATCCAACTAAGACCAGGCTCCTTTCTCACCCCTCTCTTCCTCATTGTTTTTCTTATTAAGGCCACATCATCCCATCTGCCAGAGGCAGCATACATATTTGATAACAACACATGGGCAGACTCATCATTAGGCTCCATCTCGAGCACTCGTTGCGCTGAAAGTTTCCCTAAGTTGACGTTTTTGTGGACAACACAAGCACCTAGCAAAGCTCTCCAAAGCGTAACACTAGGCTCAAAAGGCATGTCCTCTATGAGCTTCATGGACTCATCTAAACGACCCGACCTCCCCAAAAGCCTCACCATGCAACTGTAATGCTCCATACAAGGTGTGATGCCGTAGTCATTAGTCATGGCATGGAAATATTCACGGCCTTTGCTCACCAGTCCCATATTGCTACATGCACATAGCACACCTACGAAAGATATATGGTTGGGTTTGGAACCAGTCTCTATCATCTTCTCAAAGAGCTCCAATGCGTCGGGCCCTAATCCATGTAAGGAATAACCATTGATCATGGCATTCCATGATACTATGTCATGGTAACTCATAGTATTGAAAACATTCCATGCATCTCGTATGCTTCCGCATTTGGCATACATGTCGACTAAAGCATTATTCACTGGTGTGTCATAGTAATAATGGGTCTTAGCAATCAGGGAATGAATTTGGGTCCCCTGCTCCATAGCAGCCAAGCATGCACAAGCCCTAAGAATGCTAGAAAAAGTAACTTGGGTGATCTCAACATGACTCTCATGCATCTTTTGAAAGAGTCGTAAAGCCTCTTCTCCAAAACCCAACTGAACATAACCTACAATCATGGAGTTCCATGAAACATCATTTGGACAAGGCAACCTAGAAAAAACTAGTTCTGCATAATCCATTCTTCCACACTTTGCATAGGTGTCGATTAGGGCACTTGAGACAAAGACATCAGAGTAAAACTCAAGTTTCACAAGGTGGCCATGGGCTTGCTTGCCGAGCTCCAAGGCCCCCAAGCTCGAACATGCATGTAAAAAGCTCGCATAGCTAAACTGATTAGGGGCCACTGAAGCTTGCCACATTTGGAAAAAAAGCCCAAATGCCTCCTCATATTCACCACTCCAAGCATAACGTGAGATCATGAAACTCCACACGATCACATCACGTTCCTGAAACCCATTAAAAACCATTCGAGCATCCTCAATTCCCCCACATTTAGCATACATATCGACAAGCGCACTACCCACAAAGTAATTTGATTCATTCTGCATTTTTAAAGCAAAAGCATGAAAACTCTTGCCCAATTCTACATCTTCCAAACTAGTGGAAGCCTTTAGTAAACTTGTAAACGTGAAAGGGTTTGGCTTCAAACCATTCTCTCTCATCTGAGAGAAGAGGTTCAATGCCCCGTCACCTTTACCACTCTCGGCATAAGCAGTTATCATTCCAGTCCATGAAACTATATCCTTCTCTAATATTCCTTCAAAAACTTCTCTAGCATCTCTTATAAGCCCATTTGCAGAGTATCCATCAATCAAAGAGGAACCCACGAAGGCATTTGACTCAAACCCAAGCTTAATCACACATCCATGAATATAATTAACATGCCCCAAGAGCTCCATATCAACAATAACCTTCAAAATTGTCGAAAAAGCAAATGGGTTCAGCTCAAAACCATATGTATGAATCCTTCGAAAGAGCTCCAGTGGTTTATTCAAGTCCCCAAGTTGGGCATATCCTTGAATCAAGGGTACCCAAGTAGCAGTATTTTTCTCCGGCATTTCATCAAACACCATTTCAGCATCCATTAAGTTACCCAATTTTGAGTACATATTAAGAAGGGTATTCCAAGCAAACAAATCCAGATTTGACCCACTTTTAATAACATGGCCATGGATGTTCTTACCTTCAATTAAACCGGTTTTCTCTGTGCAACTCTGAAACAGGCGAGTATACGCGTATGAATCAAACCATGGATCTATCCGACCGATTTGCTTCCTTAAACAATAATCTTTCACGAAAGATTTATGGTTTTGATTTGGGTTTCTGTTTATGCTCTCACATTCTTTAAAAAACTCTTCAATTTGAACTGCCTGTGTGCTAAAACAACATTTATCTGATAAAACTACTTTTGATATTGAGTTTCTGAGGTACCCACATTTTTTCATTGTTCTTTACAGGCTGGATTTCCATGGAAAGAAGCTGGTAATCCTTCTAACTATGGCCACCATTAGTTCCCAAAAGATACTGTTTTCCTTGGAAAAATTATCTTCGAATTTGTGAAAAAATCGACAAAATATTGTGCAAATAAGTCATAACCGCCCAAGTTTCTGCAAGAGCACCTCTTAAAGCTCCACATAGATAGAGAAAAGCGAGAGATGTCAAAAGATCATTAGTCAATCAAATTATTTTATATACAATTTACCATAAACAGTTACAGTCCAATTAATGCAGTAGGCAAAGGTCAGCATATGTGCAGATTATAAGAAGCCAAGTAGAAAAAGTCATGAACACAAACTTCCAGGACTTCACAAATCATCATCTTTCCCCAAAAAACAGGCTACAAATACAAAGATAATCCCTTCTTTTGCCAAGTCAGATGGACTGCAACTTCCTCTACTGAATGTGGCGGTTGATCAAAGAAATAGTATGGTATGACTGGTGATCCGCTTGGTCAATAAAGGAGTAGAATTGACACTGTCTGAGGCGTGCTACTTTTGACATTGTCGTTTTAAGACATGTCAAAATCTATGGTATCTACCTAAAACGAAAAAAGGTTTATATATTGGGGTGAGGCCCTCAACAATCCAACTAACATATACCTCAAGAATTTACTAAAAGAAGTTTTCAATATTTAATGATTGTTATATGAAGATGTATGAATACGAGAAAAAATGGATTTGAAGTCTTGAAAATAATATATTTTATAATACATTAATTGGACCATCAATTTTTAAAATTTTTAAATATTAATTGATGGCTCCATTTACACTTTTTTTAAGCTTTACATTTTGAGAGTGTCACAAAGATTTTCAATACTAAAATAACATCTTTCAATACCACTTGAAATTGTTCCTTATTTTGAATGTTTAGTGTATCAACTATATACAAACCACATCCCTAACTAAATAGATGGTGCAACTATATACAAACCACATCGCAACCAAAAAAAATTACAACCTTATGCAAACCTTAAAAAAATAGGAAGAAGAAACAGTAAAAAAAAGGAGATGTATTTGCAATTGCCAAAAGATTTTATCCTCTTTGGAGGTCACTATCCATTTCCTCTATTTGGGCAAAATATATGGATGCTTTTTAGATCTCAAAATTCGAAGTTGCTTTAAAGAAATTTATGATATAAACTCTGATATAAACTCTAAGAACTTGTCTTAAGATTAACCAAGACCATCCAATTTTTGAAGGGCTAGATCTAATAAATATCACAAAACTTAAATTTCAAAAATTTTCTTTCCAAATAATCATTTAATAATTATTATATATTTTCCAAAATTTTAGACACCGTTTTGATCAAGGGATAAGATGCACATTATGCACCCGAAGAAGCATAATATATGCACTCTTTACTCTCTGCAATTTATCTTCGGTTCCATCCTTCTCACCCCAACCGCCACTCTCATCTTCTCTCTCTCTAAACCTCTCTCTCTCTCTCTAACTACTCTCTCTCTCTCTACTCTCTCTCTCTCTACTCTATCTCTCTCTAAACCTCTCTCTCTCTAAACTTCTCTCTCTATATATGCAGTAGTGTTTTTACTCTTTCCTCCGCTTGCCCATTTCGGCTGAGCAGCAATGGAGTTAGTAGAGAGAGCAGAAAGGCCATTGAAATTGGTGGAAGTGGGGCTCAATTCGTGTAGAAATGCAGCGGTTTCCTCTGAATTTGGGGTAGCTAGAGAGAGAAAGAAGGAAGGCGAGAATCAGACACGAAAAGCAGCGGTTTCCTGTGAATTTGGGGTAGCTAGAGAGAGAAAGAAGGAAGGAGAGAATAATAGAGAGAAGAAGATGAAGAGGTGGAGTGATCCTCTCAGAGTCTTTGGGCCAGACCTGTTTCTGTTGATTCTGCAGCGTCTGGATGCACACAGCGTGGCACGATCCCTCTTGGTCTCCCGCGGGTGGCGTAGAGTAGCCTCTAGCGACACCCTCTGGGCCAAGAAGGTAACCTACAAATTCTCTCTCTCTCTCTAAACTTTATTTGTTGAATGGCATTATTTACTTCCAATCTCTCTAGAATTTCTTGGTTGAATGTATCTCTCTCTGGAATTTCGTTGTTGAATAGGTGGGTTGGTAGTTCATCCATTGCTTCCCACCCCCTATAAGGACTTTCGGTTATTATGGTCTAAATTCATTTTATCTGGTCTATTCTCTCTGTCTCTCTACTAATTATTTTGTTGGAGAAGATTAGTCATTTATGTGAGTGCCCCATTCTTCTTCTTCGTCTCTCTCTCTCTCTCTAATGGAGTTCAATACGCACTTTAAAGACTGTATTAATGCTCATTCCTCTTCATTTTAATTTATAATATTGGGTTTCTTAGTATTTCTCTAAAAAATATTGGTGGTTTATTGGTGGAATATTGCACAGCTTACAATTTTTACTTTTCTTGTTCCTTATCGTTCTGGATTGTTTTTGTGCTTAGGTCTATTTGTGTATACGTTTTGATTATTATTTACGAGCATAATGTTGTATGCATTGTTTCTCCTCTTGAGTTTGATCCCTGGACCATCTTCTCTATTTTGTGAGGTGTGGGTTCTCTCCAATGTATCTGGAGTGGAGCTAGCGATGTGATGGAGGGATATACAGCATACATGCTTGAAGGTCAATGTAGCCTTGAGTACAGTGAGCTCCCTAGCTGTGGAAAAGAAATTTGACTTTCAATCCCAAATGTTTCTTCCACCTCATCTCACCCAACTTGGATAGCCCAAATACTTGCGGGAGACATTCAACCTTGCATTCCAAAGATGATGTGAATTCCCATTTCTTTTTTAATGTGAATTAAAACCGCTGGCGATAGACTATCACGAGATACATCTCCATTGGCAAGTACAGCTGCCTCAACATTAGCTTCCCTCGAGACATGATTAAACTAGATACATCAGGAGGAACAAATATCTGCAACCTCATCAAATATCATAGTTAAAAGGCCAATGTGAAGCTAAGCTATGGGCTCATGTAATGACATTGAAGTTGTCGCCTTCAGTGATGATCGGATTCTGATCACTTTGGGGCAAAAGTCTCAATCCCTCTGTCAGAGCTTTCACCTCTGCATGGGAAGTGTCTTAATGGATTTGGATCTTATGTAATGACATTGAAGCTGTCACCTTCAGTGATGATCGGGGTTTCATCACTCTGGGGAAAAAGTCTCAATCCCTCTGGCAAAGCTCTCACCTCTGCATAGGAAGTGTCTTAATGGATTTGAATCTCATTATTGCACCGTCACCAATTCAAATGCCCATAAATGCATTTTTATTCAGACTTAATCTATTACCCTTTGCAATACGGAAAACATATGGTGTCCATGTAGTATGTTAGATAGGGAAAACTCTCAAAGAAAGAACTAGATATACCTAGAGGGTTATGGTTACATACCACAAATCCAAGTATGCATATGGAAGTAACAATTGGTAATACACAAAAATTCAGCTTGTAGGTTCATCTATAAGACATCACAATGGAGTTTCGTCATTGAAACTTACATGTCTTGATATTACTTTGTGGCGCTATGCAATTGGTTATAGTTTCTTGACAAAGTGTTACATTCTCTTCAATAGTTCACTAAGATGAGATCAAGTTTGACACACATTTTGTCTGCTCTGAGGATCTCATCTCAGTGAAATATTGAAGAACGTTTGGATCTCATCTCTGATCCCAGCCCCTCGCTTGTGCCTTTTGTACCCCCTCTCTTCTGGCCCTTTGCCCCTCACCCTCCACTGGCCCCTCTTTTCCATATCCCTCTCCTATCAATTTCACCCCATCCCTTTTCTCAAGCGCAGCCCTCGTCTTCCCCTCCCTTTCTTATCTCCCTGTCACCTTGCCCTCAGCCTATTCCCCTACTCGTTGTGCTTCTGGGGAGCCCATCTTCATCCTTTTCTCCCTCGGATTCTTTCAACCCTTTCTCCTCGTCTCCCACCGCCCTTGTAACCCTCGGTCTTTCTGTCTCACCCCTCCCCTCCCTCTCTATGGCACCTCTCCCCCCGGCCCCCCCACCCAACCGATGCCAATTCACCTCCCCATCCTCATCTCCCTCAACCCCCTTCGGCTAGCCCCATACTTGGACCCCCATCTCTGACCCCCCTCCTCCTCCCCTCCTCATGTATAACCTTGCTCGACTCCTAAAATCTCCTGGCTTCTGGGAAGCCCATTTAGACTCATTTTTGGATTGTTTGTACTCTTCTGTGGACTCCTCCTTTATCTAGGCTTTCGACTTGGCACAAGGCGATGTATCCCGGGTACTCAAGGTCATGGGCTTTAAGTTTAATGGCCCCAAAGAGGTTCTCAAAGAGCTCATTCTAGTGGAATCCAAAGGCAAAGCTAATCTCAAGGGCAAACGGGAGCTTTCCAATCTTGCTTGCGGGATCAATTACGACAAATAGCTTTGAACCCGGTTCCCCTCCTAGTGCCCTGGGGCCTTCATCCAGACCTAGGCACTCGTCGGGGCATAACCCCTATGCCGCCTTGCCCTCATGAGGATAGTCTTATGGAATATCGGGGGCTTAGGCCAGTCCCACAAAAAAAGGGTTGTCCGTGACATTTGTGTAAAGCATTCCCCCTACCTCCTTGCCATTAGTGAAACCACGATGCCCTCCCCCATTCTCATGGAAATTCATCATTTGTGGGGCCACAAACCTTGCGATTGGGTTGCCCTTGAAGCCCAAGGCACCTCATGAATCTGGGTTCTCCAGCACCCCACTCTTAACTCCTTGTAACACTCCACCATCGGCAATTTCTTTGTTACTGTGTTGCTCACTAGGTTGTCAGACAACCTACAATGGAAATGCACGACAATCTACGGCCCAACCAAGATAACCTCAGGTACTCATTTTGGGCTGAACTTGACTCCATGGCTTCGGTCTCCCCGTCCACTTAGTGCTTAGGTTGGGACTTCAATGTAAACCGATGGTCACATGAACGGAAGTCCAACCATTCCGTTACCCCACCCATGATCCCTTTTTCAGACTTCATCTCAAGCCACCAATTCATTGATGTCCCACTGGAAGGAGCCCTCTTTACATGGTCTAACCACTCTTCCCACCGCTATCTCTCCAAAATTGATCGATTCTTATTTCTTTGGACTGGGACAACCTTTTCCCTGGTTCCCACTCTATTGCTTTGCCCAAGCCTACCTCGGGCCATCGTCCAATCCTTCTCGATACGTAGTCTGTCTCTAGAGGGCCTAGACCCGTTTTGAGTTGGTCTGGCTTGAAGAGACCAATTTCCCCAACCTCGTCAAATCTTGGTGGGAATCCTTTTCTCCCCTTGTGTCTGGATGGGCCGGCTTCTGATTTCAGCAGAAAGTACAAACTCCCAAATCTCACCTCAAGTTATGGACCCCTGGTAACTTCCATGACCATAAGGAGGCCCTTCTTCGATCTATTCAACATCGAGATGTCGCTGAGGATTCGAGAACTCTCATGCCCAATGAGTTGGAGATTCGGTCCAAAGTAGTGTTTGCAAAATCGAACTGGAAAGGTTAACCGGACATGGACCTGGAAGCGGTTTAACCGGCCAAACCGGTAAACCGGCCGATTCAACTGCTCTAACCAGGCAGTCAAAAAAGTGTTGAAAAAATTTAAAAATACAAAAAAAATCAATGAAAATCATATAAAAAATGATTAAAACAAAACACATTCAAATGAAGCTGAAAATTAATGAAAAAAATAGATTTTAACCCACTTTATAGTTTCCAATTGCTATTTTTAAAATTTTCTTAAAAAGATGGGAAAATATAAAAGTGAGTGTTAATGACCAAAACAATTTTTAATCTTTACCATAATGTAAAGAATATTTAAAAATGCATACAAATTAAATTCCTTATTTTTGAAAATTTATATACATTTTTTTAATTTTGTTTTTTAAATACCGGTTGATCACCCTAACCGCCCAAAACCCAAACCGGCCACTAGCCAGTTCCGATCTAACCGGTTGGTTAGCGGTTAGATCAGGCGATTTTGCGAACAGTGGTCCAAAGCTAAACTTGAATATCAAAATATCCTCCACTAGGAGGAGATCTATTGGGCCCAAAGAGCCAAGATCAAATGGCTGATGCTGGGTCATCTCAATATTGGCTATTTTCATAAGGTAGCCAACTATTGTAGAAGAGAATATTCTATAACTCGCCTCAAAGTCGACAAGTTAATCCTAGACCAACCCTAGCTCATTGAATAGGCTGCGGTTCAGTTTTTTACCTGTCTATTTGCCACTCAGCCAGGGCCTAGACTCACCATAGACGATTTGTCCTTCCTTCCTCTTCCCCAAGACCAAGCCAGCTGGTTAGAGCGACCATTCTTTGAGGAAGAAATATTGGTTGCCATCAAAGACCTCAATCCCTACTGTGCCCCTGGACCAGACGGGTACCCCTTGGCCTTCTTTAACTCTTTTTGGGAAACTCTTCGGCCTGATATCCTCACCTTCTTCTCTGAGTTCCATTCTAGAGGAGTGGTGGGGAAAGCCATGAACACAACTTCCATAGCCTAAGGGCAGTGGAACTCAAAGATTTCCGACCAATTTGTCTCATTAACAGCTCCTACAAACTCCTATCCAAAGTCTTGGCAACTTGGCTAAAGGTTGTTCTTAATTGGGTTATTTCTCCTACACAAGGAGCATTTGTTAAGGACCGTCAAATCCTTGATGGGGCAATCATAGCTCACGAGTGTATCCACAGTCGTATGATTTCAAAAGCCCCTGGCATCATCCTAAAACTTGATTGGGAGAAAGCTTACGACCACCCCGATTGGTTGATCCTTGATGAGACCCTGAGGATGGCCTTTGGGGTCAAATGGAGAAAATGGGTGCACGGGTGTATCTCTAGTCCTGTTGTTTCAGTTTTGATCAATGGATCCCTAAGAGCTTCTTCCCTGCCTCTAGAGGCGTTGGCCAAGGGGACCCCCTGTCACCCTTCCTCTTTGCTACCGTGGCCTAAGTGTTCAGCAATTCCATTTCT